AATCACAGCTAAACACCCCTGAGAGATGGCTATCCAACCTCTGCTTAAAAACGTCCAAGGAACGAAAGTCCAGCGCCTTCTCGATTAATAATGTCCCTCTCCTTTTTGCAGTATGTTTCCTTTGCATCAAAATAAATGAGGTGGAATAACATGACACCAACAAATTTCACATAATTTTGCCGCAGTGGGCAGCGATACAAATAATGTGCTTTTTGGTGGAAGGGAAACTGCAGCAGAACGGGGAAACCTTCTTCAGAAAAAGCATTTCAAGGTCCAGATAGCAGTTTTCACATCTAGGAGGGCTTCGGTCTCTCCCAAAAAGTTGCTTGCCATTTCCAAGAGGAGAACATCACTGCAGGGCCACAGTCAGCCTGTTTGATAGTCCAGCCTGGCTTTTTGTTTAAGAAGCGGCCTTTATCTCTGTGAGAAAAGAAAGAAAGGAATGCAGTGTGTGATCAGGTGAACCGCCCTGAGACCTCTGGGTATAGGGCGGCATATAAATTCTATTATTATTATTATTATTATTATTATTATTATTATTATTATTATTATTATTTACAGATATCCTTGATTGTTCTGCAACCTTATCATGGAGCCAGCACTGGAAAATTCAGTTTATGCAGACGACAGTGTGAGAACCTCATTCTGGTCAAAACAGATCAGGGTCTTTCAAGTCTGTGGGACACACACACCACTTTGTGGAACGACAGATTCCACAGCACAACACTGTTATGTACTGAAGTTCTCACCCTGGGCCAGCAGGGGGATACTGTGGATAGTTATGCAAATGAAGGATCGAAAGTGACATTCAGTGATTGGATAGTTTGTATGCAAATGAAGGATCGAAAGTGACGTTCAGTGATTGGATAGTTTTAGAAAGTTGCTGCAGTTACGTGTTCTGGAGCTCTATATAAGCAGGCTGACTGAACCTTTCAGTTCAGTTCTGTTCTGGCCTCTGAATAAAGAAGAGCTGTTTGAAGAATCGCTGTGTCGTCTGATATGTTCGCCCACAACTTAACAAACACCCCACCATTTTTTAAAATTTTGGCTGCTGAGAACACTTCATAAGAAGAGCATCCGCTGGTTCAGGCCAATGGCCCATCTAGTCCAGCCTCCTGTTCTCACAGGGGCCGACCAGATGTCCATAATGGGAAACCTGCAAGCAGGATTTGAGGGCAAGAGCAGCTCTCCTCTCCTGCAGTTTCCAGGAACCAGCATTCAGAAGCATTGCTGCCTCTGACTTAGAACTTCGCCATTGTGGCTAATAATAATAATAATAATAATAATAATAATAATAATAATAAATTTTTATTTATACCCCACCCTTCCTGGTTCAAAAACCGGGCTCAGGGTGGCTAACAACAAATTTAAAACACTTTAAAACACTTAATTATAAAAGCAGCATAAAATACAGTATAAAAACATGAATAACAATAAAAATCAAAAATCTATCAGAGAATCCCCAGGGCTAGCTGGCTGAATTGGTCCTACTTGGGCCAGCAAGGAGGCCAGGGGAGAATTAGCTGTGGGATCCCAGAGCGAGTAATCTTCATAAAAAGGGGAGGGAGAGGGAAGAGAAGGGAAATAAAAGATCAGGCTGAATTCAAATTAAAGGCCAGGCGGAATAGCTCTGTCTTACAGGCCCGACGGAAGGAGGTTAAATCCTGCAGGGCCCTGGTCTCCTGGGACAGAGCATTCCACCAGGTCGGAGCCATCACTGAGAAGGCCCTGGCCCTGGGGGAGGATAGGGCCCGGGACCTCTAAACTATGGTTATTCATAGACCTTAAGGTCCTCTGCGGGGCAGACCAGGAGAGGCAGTCCTGTAGATACAAGGGCCCTCAGCCACAAAGGGCTTTAAAGGACCAGCACCTTGAACCTGACCCAATACTCCACTGGGAGCCAGTGCAACATAGCCCCAGACCTCCAGGGATGTCAGCAAGTAGCGCTAAGGACACGTCAGCCAAGGATTTGCCAATGGAGAGGAAAGAGAGCAAAGCCCTGGCTTAGCTTTTGGGTAAACACTTTTTGTTGAACTTTGAGGAGCCTGTGCCCTTTCTGCCATGCTCACGCCCTCTTCGTAAGTCGCTGTGGTTTTCTAAGAGCTTTATGCTTGATAAAGCATGGGAGGGCTGCCCATCCCATCTTACCAGGTCCTTGACATTAGTTTTGAATTGCAGAAGCAGAACACAAGGGGGAGGTTCTTCTGAGGGCTCCATCGACACAGCCAAATTGGTGTGGCAGAAATATAGCAATGTGTAAGACATTGTCCACATCTTGTGAAATATACTAGGAGTCCTGTAGTGATTTCATGCTCTTTATTGTAGCTTGTAAAACAGTGATTGAATTGCTCCTCAAACCTCAGGCTTTTATATACATTATTTACACATTGAGTCCTTTTTGTTTGGCTCATTCTGCTCCCCTCCTGGAGCCTGATTGGTCTTTTCCTGCAGGTCAATCAGTTGTTGCATTCTAGGATCCTACTTGCCTATTGCTCTAGGATCCAAGCTTAGTACATAACATCTTGCCTCTTTGCCCTACTCACTCCCAGTACCTGCAAGTCAGTGGGAAGACTGATACAGTGGTACCTCAGGTTACAGACGCTTCAGGTTACAGACTCCTCTAACCCAGAAATATTACCTTGGGTTAAGAACTTTGCTTCAGGATGAGAACAGAAATCGTGCTCCAGCGGTGCAGCAGCAGCAGGAGGCCCCATTAGCTAAAGTGGTGCTTCAGGTTAAGAACAGTTTCAGGTTAAGAACGGACCTCCGGAACGAATTAAGTACTTAACCCGAGGTACCACTGTATGTTGGACTGCAGTTTTGCATATAGAATCATAGAATCATAGAATCATAGAGTTGGAATAGACCACAAGGGCCATCGGCTAAGGGAGCTGGGCATGTTTAGCCTGGAGAAGAGGAGGTTAAGGGGTGATATGATAGCCATGTTCAAATATATAAAAGGATGTCATATAGAGGAGGGAGAAAGGTTGTTTTCTGCTGCTCCAGAGAAGCGGACACGGAGCAATGGATCCAAACTACAAGAAAGAAGATTCCACCTAAACATTAGGAAGAACTTCCTGACAGTAAGAGCTGTTCGACAGTGGAATTTGCTGCCAAGGAGTGTGGTGGAGTCTCCTTCTTTGGAGGTCTTTAAGCAGAGGCTTGACAACCATATGTCAGGAGTGCTCTGATGGTGTTTCCTGCTTGGCAGGGGGTTGGACTCGATGGCCCTTGTGGTCTATTCCAACTCTAGGATTCTATGATTCACATGTGCTACTGGCAAACCAGGTGTCACCCATCTTGTATTTGTGCAGCTGGTTATTCCTGCCTAAGTGCTGAACCTTAAGTCAGGGGTCAGCAAACTTACCGTGCCTCGGGCCGGTGTCTCCAGCGCCGATTGTGCAGCGGGCCGGAGGGCTGGGGAGCGCGTGCCCATATGCGTGCACACACGCTATTTCCGGCACACTTCGGGGTCGGAAGAGCACCGGAAATAGCTTGTGCACATGTACATGGGCCTCCTCTGACCCGGATGTGCACCAAAAATAACACTTGCGCATGCACACAAGCTATTTCCGGTGCTCCTCCGACCCGGAGGTGGGCAGCTGCGCAGTGCAGCGCTGGTAAGAGTGGGCAGCAGCAGCCGCTGTGGGCTGGATAAACAAGTCCCTTGGGCCTTATCTGGTGTGCAGGCCTTAGTTTGGGGACCCCTGCCTTAAGTGATGCTCTCCAGTGTGATGGGCAGGTGAACCCAAAGGTGAAACCTTTGTGGTTTGCTCCTAAGTGGCAGAGAAGGCAGCCCTTTTGCAACGTCAAGATCTCTTTAGCAAGTCCAGGATCAGGATGCTGAAAGATGGGAAAGGACTCTGAAAGCAAATAAACCTGCTAGTTCATAACAAAGGGATGCCTAAATGGCTTAGGAACTCAGGAGAATGAGTGTTGACTCAGAGATGTCCTCTTCTTGCAACTTTCACTGGGGCGTTTCAAAAAGAGCCATTAACACACACACCCTGCCCCCACTTCTGGTGCTGTCTCAACAAACAAAAGAGCCAGGAGATTACGGTAAATCCCATATCCAGGCATGTCGTAAGCAGTGCACACAGACCTCCTCTCCTTTGCAAAAGTTATTTGGGCGATGAACTGAATTTTAGGAAACCTGCCCCAGAGGGGGAAGTCACATTTGTCTGTGGCAGCCAAACCAAGATGATTCCCTAACAGCTTAGACGGGGGTCAGCAAACTTTTTCAGCAGGGGTCCAGTCCCTCAGACCTTGTGGGGGGCCGGACTATATTTTGAAAAAAAATAAAATAAAATGAACGAATTCCTATGCCCCACAAATAACCCAGAGATGCATTTTAAATAAAAGGACACATTCTACTCGTGTAAAAACACGCTGATTCCCGGACTGTCCGTGGGCCGGATTGAGAAGGCGATTGGGCTGGATCTGGCCCCTGGGCCTCAGTTTGCCTACCCATGGCTTAGAAGATTAGCTAGAAGGCAACCTTGAAGCCTATGGTTGCTGTGGAATGGTTGAAAGGCTGAGCTTTGAACCTGGAAAGCCTCTCTTGGACTTACTCAGTGCAAACCCTTCTCTTTCTGCCTCCATTTGCAGGGTGGCTTTGCTAACAATGGCCTACCTCACTAGGGAGGGAGAGACTGTGTTGTGTAGTGGTTAGAGTGCTGGGCTGGAGAGGCCCAGGTTCAAATCCACAGACTAACCTACCTCAAAAGGCTGCTGTAGGGATAAAATCGGGGCAGTGGGGGAGGACTATGCATGCCCCCTTGGAGGTCCTTGGAGGAAAGGCACCTAGGACAGGAGCCAATGAAATGATGTGAGGATTATTGAGATAATACAGTTATGTGCCACGCCATTCTCAAAGCAATGAGAGGCCCTGGGAATTCCAGGTCCTTACACAGAGTTTGGTTTCCTTGGGATGAAGGTCAGCAGAGACTCTGGAGTTTTTAACATATATGGTTTTATTTACACATTTCTACAACTTGAGCATGGATGTGAGTGGCGCTGTGGGTTAAACCACAGAGTCTAAGACTTGCCGATCAGAAGGTTGGTGGTTTGAATCCCCACGACAGGGTGAGCTCCCGTTGCTCGGTCCCTGCTCCTGCCAACCTAGCAGTTCGAAAGCACCTCAAAGTGCAAGTAGATAAATAGGGACCGCTCCAGCGGGAAGGTAAACAGCGTTTCCGTGTGCTGCTCTGGTTCGCCAGAAGCAGCTTAGTCATGCTGGCCGCATGACCCGGAAGCTGTACGCCGGCTCCCTCGGCCAATAAAGCGAGATGAGCGCCGCAACCCCAGAGTCGGCCATGACTGGACCTAATGGTCAGGGGTCCCTTTACCTTTACAACTGGAGTACAGGATGGGGGGGTGCTCACAGCATCAACACCCCAGGAGATATCTCTTGTCCATCAGTCACAGCTTTGGTTCCAGCACAGAGCAAGCCGGTCTCTGTTTCTCCAGCTCAACTCACAGCCCAAAACTGTGGGTCTTCTTCTACCTAGCAGCCAGGTGAGTTGGGGGGAAGGAGGAAAGGCCCACCCATGAGCCTGGAGGGCCTAATAATAATAATAATAATAATAATAATAATAATAATAATTTATACCCCACCCATCTGGCTGGGCGGCTTCCAACAGAATATTAAAATACAGTAATCCATCAAACATTAAAAGCTTCCCTAAACAGGGCTGCCTTCAGATGTCTTCTAAAAGTCTGGTAGTTGTTGTTCTCTTTGACATCTGCTGGGAGGGCGTTCCACAGGGCGGGTGCCACTACCCATCCCTTCATTGCAGCTCCTGCAACACAGCTTCTTCGGATCAGGACCCTTGAGTGGACAGCGGAGGTCATTGCCTTCCAAAGAAACTTCTTCAGCAGTAGAATCCGCCATTAGATTTTAACTCACACCGGGTACTGGACCCCAAGAATTCATCCAGATAGACCCCCCTCGGACAAACAATACAAATGAAATGGCTTTCGTCCTTTGCAAAGGAAAAAAAATGTGTCATAAAGGGCTAGCAGTTCCTGCTGGATCCTAAAGTTTGACTTGGTGGGGTCTGAATCCCAGATGCCTCGTCATCTCAGAAGCTCTGAGACCTGCTAATCCTCTCCCCGTTTGACCAGGCACGGTGCTTCTTTGAGAGTGATGGATGGATAGATTGATTGGTTGAATCCCAAATATACATTGTGGCTTGTGTGCAGAAAGCAGGTTCCCCATTTTCCCACAAGTAAACGTTTCACGCCCTCGGCAAACCTAAGCTTGACATGTCTCCTGACCTTCAGCTTTTTGCCCACACCTGGTAGCCAAATAAAAGCCAAGTCTCCTTCGCCCACAGAAGCAAGGGAGGCAGCAGAAGTGGTCCAGCCAGTGTCTCTGGGATCTACCACCTTCCCAAAGCAGTAAGGTAAGATCTGAGTCTCTGGGTGGGCTGGCGAGTTCAGGTACCCCTGAAAGACAACCATCCAACCTCTCTTTAGAAACCTGCAAGGAAGGAGAGTTTGCCACCTGCAGCCAAAGATATACCACCTTTTCCATTGCACATTAAAAGCCAAAAAATCACAGCATCAGAGAGCTGGAAGAGAATCTTGTGGCTCAACGCAGGTTGTAACTGCAGCATCCATGACCGATGGCTCTCCAGCCTCTGCTCTATATTATTATTATTGTTTGTTGTTGTTTAGTTGTTTAGTCATGTCCGACTCTTCGTGCCCCCATGGACCAGAGCACGCCAGGCACTCCTGTCTTCCACTGCCTCCCCCAGTTTGGTCAAACTCATGCTGGTAGCTTCAAGAAGACTGTCCAGCCATCTTGTCCTCTGTGGTCCCCTTCTCCTTGTGCCCTCCATCTTTCCCAACATCAGGGTCTTTTCCAGGGTCTTTTCTCTTCTCATGAGGTGGCCAAAGTCTTGGAGCCTCAGCTTCAGGATCTGTCCTTCCAGGGAGCACTCAGGGCTGATTTCCTTCAGAATGGAGAGGTTTGATCTTCTTGCAGTCCATGGGACTCTCAAGAGTCTCCTCCAGCACCATAATTCAAAAGCATGAATTCTTCAGTTATCAACCTTTTTTATGGTCCAGCTCTCACTTCCAGCTTTCACTTCTTCTTCTTCTTCTTCTTCTTCTTCTTCTTCTTCTTCTTCTTCTTCTTCTTCTTGCCGATCGGAAGGTCGGCGGTTCGAATCCCCGCGACGGGGTGAACTCCTGTTGCTCTGTCCCAGCTCCTGCCAGCTTAGCAGTTTGAAAGCACACCAGTGCAAGTAGATAAATAGGCACCACTCTGGCAGGAAGGTAAACGGGTTTCCGTGTGTTCTGGTTTCAGTCATGGTGTCCCGTTGCACCAGAAGCAGTTGAGTCATGCTGGCCACCTGACCCGGAAAGCTGTCTGTGGACAAACACAGGCTCCCTCGGCCTGAAAGTGAGATGAGCGCTGCAACCCCAGAGTCGCCTTTGACTGGACTTTACTGTCTAATAATAATAATAATAATAATAATAATAATAATAATAATAATAATTTATTTAAACCCCGCCCATCTGTCTGGGTTTCCCCAGCCACTCTGGGCAGCTTCCAACAGAATATTAAAATACAATAACCTATTAAACATTAAAAGCTTCCCTAAACAGGGCTGCCTTCAGATGTCTTCTAAAAGTCTGGTAGTTTTTGTTCTCTTTGACATCTTTGACATTCCACAGGGCGGGTGCCACCACCGAGAAGGCCCTCTGCCTGGTTCCTTGTAACCTCACTTCTCGCAGTGAGGGAACCGCCAGAAGGCCCTCGGTGCTGGACCTCAGTGTCCGGGCAGAACGATGGGGGTGGAGACGCTCCTTCAGATATAGTGGACAGAGGGGTATTTTACCTTTTTACCTTGTGAGTGAGTAGGCATTTCAGGTTGTAGCAGGTTGAACGCACTATTTGCTCCCACGGACCTTCTGTTGCTGGCCTACAGAAGCTGCAAGATCCTTTGGGTTTTGACCATTGTCCTTTCTCTCGTGCCTCTTCCTTTCCCTCTAGGTTGCCCAGCGGCTGCACCACAAAGCAGAAGATGTTGAAGCTTTGCGTCCTGAGTGTCCTCCTTTGCCTCCTTGTCCCCTCGCAAGGGTCCACCCCAGGGACTGTAGTGAGGGTCAACCAAGAAGCCCTTGAGTATGGTGAGTGCCCTCTCCACAGAACCTTGCATCTCTTGAAGACATGGAATCAACATTAGTGAATTTTTTGTATTCATACAAGAATTAGCACGAATGACACAGCCCAGCCGACTCACGTTCCTGGACACTTGTAGGTCCTTCGGTGCTCTGTGGTGCTATGCAGTCTATTCAGAACCTCTTCTGAATGGATTTCCCCCCAAATTGATTTTTGAATTCTGAATTTATTGTTATTCATGCTTTATACGGTATTTTATGCTGGTTTTTGTTGCATCAGTTAAGTGTTTTAAATTTGTTGTTAGCCCCCCTGAGCCCGGTTTTTGAACCGGGAAGGGCGGGGTATAAATAAAAATTTATTGTTATTATTATTATTATTATTATTATTCATATTATTATTCAGAGTAGACCTGTTGAAAGCAATGTGTGAAAGCCCGTGTAGTGTAGTGGTTGGACTAGGACCTGGGAGCAGAGGCACTGTCTTGTACCCAAGTTTGGGAGCTGGGGCTGGCATGTGGGGCATATGCAATGTCATGCATGCAACATGCATCACACATGTGATATCATGCGCACAACGCACATCACATCACATTGGTTGAGGAGGCCAAGCCTAGAGCCCAGTGTGGCGCAGCTTCCTCTCTCATGCTCAAGAGGAGCCAGCGAGTGATCTGCTCTCCACTCGGCCTCTTCCACCCCCTGCCAGCAGATATTGAGGGGGGCAGAGACTTCTCCACACCCCACACCCAAGGAGTTGGCGCACCTGCCTGGGAGACAGCAGGGTTCAAATCCCCACTTGGCCATGCCACTCCCTGGGGGGCCAGACACTGTCTCTCAGCCTAGCCGACCTCACAAGATTGTTGTGAGGATTAAATGGGGGGGGGGAGGAGAACCACGTCTGCCACTTTGAGCTCCCTGGAGGAAAAGGTGAGATATAAATGCAATAATCCACACCAGGGCCAGGGCCTTCTCAGTGATGGCTCCGACCTGGTGGAATGCTCTGTCCTAGGAGACCAGGGCCCTGCAGGATTTAACTTCCTTCCGTCGGGCCTGTAAGACAGAGCTATTCCACCTGGCCTTTAATTTGAATTCAGCCTGATCTCCCCCCCCCCCCTTCCTTCCCTCCCCCTCCCCTTTTCTGAGACCCCACAGCTAATTCTGTCCAGCCTCCTTGCTGGCCCAAGTAGGACCAATTCAGCCAGCTAGCCCTGGGGATTATCTAATTGATTTTTTATTCTTATTGTTATTCATGTTTTTATACTGTATTTTATGCTGCTTTATAATTAAGTGTTTTAAATTTGTTGTTAGCTGCCCTGAGCCCAGTTTTTGAACTGGGAAGGGCGGGGTATAAATAAAATTTTATTATTATCATTATTATGGACCTAAGTTGCGCATGCCCATTAATTAGGGCTGCCATATTTCAAAATGTGAAAATCCAGACACAAAAGTTGTTGAGCTCTTTTTTTTTTTGGAAATTCGGCCACTTCTGAATGCCATATACTGTACCTGGATTTCCCCAGACATTTTCAACCCATTTTGAAAAATTCTGGCAGCACACATTTTTTGATGGACAAATCCCAGATATGGAATGGAAAACAAGCGAGGTCCCAGCCAAAGAAGAATTGCCACTTAAGCTGGCGGAATATGCTTCAGCTTGCAGACTTAACATATAGAATAAGACAACAAGAAGAACATGCATTTAAAGAAGATTGGGAAATGTTTATTGAATATATAGGGGGAAATTGTGTACACTTGAAAACACAGGCAGCATTAAGATAAACTCAACAGTGTAAGCTTGCTAAGATATATCACCTGTCTGATAATAAATGTTGGAAATGTAAGGAGGCTGAAGGGACATTCTTTCACATCTGTTGGACTTGCCCAAAAGTGAAGGCCTTCTGGGAAGTGATTTACAATGAGTTAAAAAAGGTATTTAGATATACCTTTCCCAAGAAACCAGAGGCCTTCCTCCTGGGCATTGTAGACCAGAAAGTGCTAAAGAAGGATAGAACTTTTTTTATGTATGCAACTACAGCAGCAAGAATCCTTATCGCAAAGTACTGGAAGACACAAGATTTACCCACACTGGAAGAGTGGCAGACGCAATTGATGGACTATATGGAACTGGCTGAAATGACTGGCAGAATCCGAGACTTGGGAGAAGAAACAATGGAAGAGGACTGGAAAAAATTTAAGGACTATTTGCAAAAACACTATAAGTTGTACAAATGTTAAGAATGAGCATGATTTGGAAATTTTAGCTTCAGCAACTAGATTGAACTGGAAATTAAGTTATAAGAAAGACAAGGTGGAAATTTGAAATAATTTTATTATGTTTATTTTAAGGTATAAGTAATTGAGAAACAGTACTTTGAATTTAGAAACATAATATTTGAAAGATACAGTAAGGTATGAAACAAGGTAACAAATTGCTGATGTTTTTATTGCAAAGAACGCAGGGTCTGGAAGATGTGGGGAAGTCCGGTTGGATGGTTAAAAACAGTTTGGAAAGTTGGTTTTTTTTATATTCTTTTTTCTCTTTTTCGCCTCTTTTCTTCTCTTCTGTATTACATTTCTGACTATGTATAAGAAAATCTAATAAAAATATTTATAAAAAAAAAAGATAAACTCAACAGTGTAAATAAGTTTTGATGGATGCAATAATGGAATACTGATTGGTATAGTTTTTGTAAAATATGCAGGGGTTTATGATATGTAAAGTGAACCATGGAAAGAGAAGAATGGAAGTTATTGATATTGCAAGGATGTTTAAATGAGTATTTAAAATTGCAAAACAGAAAATCTAATAAGAATTATATTAAAAAATGGCCCCTTCTCTTAATATCTCCACAGTCTGCCAGCAAGGGAAGCCATCCTTGCTGCGAGGTCTCATGGTCATACAGATCCCGAATTTCATGAGCCCACGAACCATTATCGGATCACTCCTGAAGGTCGTGGGGTGAGTGATGTCTCTCGCAGGGGTTTCTGGAACCCAAGGAGGTGGTAGCCTGAAAAAGTTTGGGAACCACTGCATTCGAATTTTGATGGTTATTTATTTTCCCCCTCCCCTCCCACTCCTTTTGCAGAATCCGAGTTTTGAACGCTCAGCTCCCTCATCTCTCCGTGAAGCTGATCCCAAGGACTGGCGTCCAGCTGTCCCTCAGTGCCCAGCTGCACATCCGAGGCAGCGTGTGAGTCACCTGCTTCCGGTTTGGAGTTCTACGGGGTGGTTAACTTAGGATACTAGCAGTCGCTATCAGACCTAGGTGTCAGGGCAGGTGCCGCAGGGCCACGAGCAAGGTAATCTGGAAGGTGGGTGAGAGGGCCTTTAAATACCGGTACTTTTTGAAAAGTATTCAGAAGACCGCATGCAGTTTGCAAGCTTCAGCCCATCAGAATATGGCTGCAAATTGAAGCATAGACACTCTCTGGGAGATCTGCTCTCTTCCACTATTGAATACGAATACGGATACGGATACAGATACAAATACAAATACAAATATTATATTATTTATACCCCACTCATCTGGCTGGGTTTCCCCAGCCACTCTGGGTGGCTCCCAACAGAATTTTAAAAACAGGATAAAAGATCAAACATTAAAAACTTCCCTGAACAGGGATGCTTTCATATGTCTTCTAAAAGTCAGATAGTTGTTTATTTCCTTCACATCTGAAGGGAGGGCGTTCCACAGGGCGGGAGCCACTACCGAGAAGGCCCTCTGCCTGGTTCCCTGTAACCTCACTTCCTGCAGTGAGGGAACCGCCAGAAGGCCCTCAGAGCTGGACCTCAGTGTCTGGGCTGAATGATGGGGGTTCTCTGTCTCTCCTTCTCTCTCCTATTACTTTCTTGATCTTTCTTTCTTCCTTCCTTTCTTCCTTTCTTCCTTCCTTCCTTCCTTCCTTCCTTCCTTCCTTCCTTCCTTCCTTTCTTTCTTTCTTTCTTTCTTTCTTTCTTTCTTTCTTTCTTTCTTTCTTTACAGAGTTTTAGGTGCAAGTGATGCAAAACAAGACTTTATGATGAGTAAACTTTGATAGTAAACTTTGGAGTATGAAAGCTCCATGTTTGCCAACTTGACATTTAATAAGAGGTTGAAAAATTCAATTGTGTAGGAGGTTTTGGAGGAGCATTTTCAATTTAGCTACAGAACTGTGGGCGGGTTAAGTCAGCTCCCATGAGAGCAGCAAGCTGTGCACTCCTCAGTCTTGGGGCAAACTGAGAGGTGTGAGCTCCCTGGGCACCCAGCACCCTCAACTGACTTTTCCCCTTTCCCCTCGGTGCAGCTTGATTGCTCCAGTGGAGCTGAGGGTGGGCTCCTCCATCCTGCTCGATGTCCGTGTCATGAGAAGCCCCCATGGATTCCCCATCCTGAGCGTCACGGCCTGCAAGTCCCTTCTGGGAGACGTGGACATCCTCCTGGGAGGTAGCAAGTGAGTAGCGGATACCTGTGCGCAGGTTGGGCTAGACTTGTGCTTTCCTGCAAGGGGGGTGGGGTGTGAAGTTTCACCTTAGCTAGATTTCGTTCTCCTACCCTGAAAAAGAGAGTTTTGTTGAGCAGCCTGGGTCTATTGCTAGATTCATCTCCTGCTAGCGAACTCTCATCACCTGAAGAACATCTGAAGAACATTTTTATGTAATCTGAAGAACGTTTTTATCTAAGCCCCCCTGCTATGTCCCACTTGTCTTCCATCATGGAACTCAAGGTGGCAAGCAGATGGGTCCTCGGCAGTCTCCCTCCACCCCACCCCACAATTTTTTTGGGATACAACCTCTTCTCCCTGGGAGAGAAATCTCTGTCCATAGATTTGCAGAGGAGATGAGGATGGTGGGGAAAAAGACTAGAGGTCCCTAGGAAAAATTGGGGTGCTGCCAAGGATTCTATCTCCTTAAAGGTCATTTGTGGGGATGGTCTTTTGTCCCCCTCTATTGTGGATTGTATGGGACGCGTATTACCTTTACCTTTCCGATTTCCGTATTACTCACGGGTTGTTACTTTTAGTCCAAATGTTCAAAGGAAGAAGTCAGCGCTCTCCGACCATGGCATGCGGCTTCACTCCGTAGGAGAAGCAGCCGACTCTCAGCACCACGCCGCTCCCGTCCCCCGTTCCGAAGCCTTTAAAAAGGCTCCTTCTCGGGTCGGGGGGGCCCGCAAATGGTGCCGCCGAGTCACCAGGTCCACAGGCTTCAGCGCCTGTGGTTTCTGAGGGTCCCCGCGTCGCCGCCGTGGCAGGACCCGTCTCCTACTGAGCCGATTCCCTCCGGAGCTCGGAGGGAATCCGCCATTAGACGATGGCTCTAACCCGGAAGTTATTGTGGATTGTATGGGACGCGGGTGGTGCTGTGGGTTAAACCACAGAGCCAGGACTTTCCTATTTACAGTGAAGAATATGAAAGTTGTATGCATATGAAAGTTTATGCATATGAAAGTTGTATGCAAGAGAAAAATGGAAAGTGCTTGAACACTTGCTCTTTCTGATGCTTCTTCTCTGTGTCCTGTTCTCCAGTTTGCTGGGCTTCCTGAAACCCCTTCAGAACCACATCCGTGCTGTCTTAGTTGACAAGGTAAACTGCTTTGCTCATTCCTGTCCATTTTAGCGTGCGCGTACGCACACACACGCACGCACGCACACTAGAAAGGTCTTTGCTCTGGACCTGATCATGAGGCAATATGAGGCAGTCATCTCAAGCAACCGAGTGTCTTGGGTTCTGCAGTGTTGCTGTCGACAAAGTGCATTGGGATGTGAGTGGCAGGACGCCTTTGACTAGGGTTACCAGACGTCCCCGTTTTCTGGGGACAGTCCCCGGATTTGTGAATAAGTCCCCGGACAATTCCATCCCCGGAATGTCCCCGGATTTCATCTAATGTCCCCGGGAAACGCAGCAGCGGCAGTCTCAGCAGCCCGGAGCAGTTGGCTCTTGCTGGCTTCAGGAGCTGCTCGGAAGTCCCCATATGATGGTGGTGCAGGGCTCTAAGATGCAGCTTCTGGGCTGTCTCCACCTTCCCTGACCCCAGCAACTAAGCTGTGGAGGGAGGCTTCATGCTGCCTATCGGAGCTTGCATGCAAGCAGGATCTCTCAGTTAGGCAATGGGGAGCCTCCCTTCCCAGCTGAGGGATCCCCACCCCCTCCTGCTTGCACACAAGTAGGAATGAGATTCGGGCTGCTCTGATGGGAAGGGAGGCATTGTGCTACCTGAGCCTCGCCGCTGCCACCACTCTCTGCCCTCCTTCTCCACCTTCCATGCCTGACCCACCGCACACCGCTTCCCCACCACCACCACTGAACAACCAACAACTCAGGGGCTGCCCAGGCTCATGGAGAAAGGAGATAGAAGCCTCGGAGGAAGGGGAAACGTGGAGGTTGAGGTCAAGGCGGTGGCCGCCCCTCTGGCACTGCCATCACTGCAGCATCAATGTCCCGAACGTGTACAGTGGTACCTTGCAAGACGAATGCCTCGCAAGACGAAAAACGCGCAAGTCGAAAGAGTTTTCCGTTTTTTGAGTCGTTCCGCAAGACGAATTTTCCTATGGGCTTGCTTCGCAAGACGAAACGTCTTGCGAGTTCTTGCGAGTTTGTTTCCTTTTTCTTAAAGTCGCTAAGCCGCTAATAGCCGCTAAGCCACTAATAGCCGTGCTTCGCAAGACGAAAAAACCGCAAGACGAAGAGACTCGCGGAACGGATTAATTTCGTCTTGCGAGGCACCACTGTAGTAATTAATTAAAGTGTCCCCGGATTCGTTAAAAAATAAATAAAATCTGGTAACCTTTTTGACTTGCCTCTTTTCCTCCCTCCCCTCCCTCTCCCTAAGGACAACAAGACATGGATGGAAGGGTAAAGCAATCAAAGATGTAGAAGGGTTGAGGGAAAGCGAGTCAGTGGCCTTATGACCCCCTCTAGCTCCCACAATTTAAGAAGGATACAGACAAGCTGGAGGGTGTACAGAGGAGGGTGACCAAGGGTCTGGAAACTAAGCCTGATGACTAACGGTTGAGGGAGTTGGGTATGTTTAGCCTGGAAAAGAGGAGACTGAGAGCAGATATGAGAGCCATCTTCAAACACATTGCCACAAGGTAGGGTGGCCCACCTGATAGTGACCTGTTGATGAAACTCTCGCGTGACGAGACAAAGAGCTAACCCCTTGCAGCTGACTCACTGACCCTCTTTCCCCACCCCTCACTTTCCCTTTCACACAGATGTGCCTGAGCCTCTCCAGCGTGGTCCTGGGACTGAATGCCAGGCTGGGCACTTTGGTTGGTAAGTTGCCACACGAAGGGAGGAGCTTCTGGGTTCCTCTGCCCGCCCAACCCATAACTCATAGCAGAATCGAGGGCTATCTGTGCACCACACATTCTGGAAACGCAGAGTAAAAAATATTCTATTATTTTCGATAACGTCATCATCATCAACAACAATAACAACAATAAATTAAGAAGTGCGCCACCTCCTGATGGTGAAACAGCCATGTAATGCATTTCAATGCATTTAAATTGACAAGGTGTGAATGCAAGGGCCATTGCAAAATGCACCAGAGAAAGGACTTCTTCACGGCTTAGGACCCTTATACCTACGGGACCGCCTCTCCCGGTATGCCCTGCAGAGGACCTTAAGGTCCATAAATAGCAGCACCCTAGAGGTCCCAGGCCCTAAGGAAGTCAGATTAGCCTCAACCAGAGCCAGGGCCTTTTCAACACTGGCCCCGTCCTGGTGGAATGCTCTGCCTCATGAGACCAGGGCCCTGCAGGATCTGATTTCTTTCCGCAGGGCCTGTTAGACAGAGTTGTTCAGAGTTGTTCCTCCAGCACAAAGCAACTTCCCCTCTTATAATAATGATCCACACTTAAAGGTAAAGGGACCCCTGACCATTAGGTCCAGTTGTGGCTGACTCTGGGGTTGCGGTGCTCATCTCGCTTTATTGGCCAAGGGAGCCGGCGTCCAGCTTCTGGGTCATGTGGCCAGCATGACTAAGCCGCTTCTGGCGAACCAGAGCAGCCCATGGAAACGCCGTTTACCTTCCCGCCGGAGTGGTACCTATTTATCTACTTGCACTTTTTAGCGTGCTTTTGAACTGCTAGGTTGGCAGGAGCAGGGACTGAGCAACAGGAGCTCACCCTGTCACGGGGATTTGAACCGCTGACCTTCTGACTGGCAAGCCCAAGAGGCTCTGTGGTTTAACCCACAGCGCCACCCACGTCCCAGGCCACCAGCCTAGATGGCTTTAAATGAGGATTGGGCAAATTCATGGAGGAGGGGAGGGCTATTGATGGCTACTAGGCAGGATGGCTTTACTCCACAGCTGGAGGCTGGAGGCAGCAATGCTTCTGAATTCCAGGGGTTAGAAGTCACAGGAGGGGAGGATGCTCAAATCCTGTTCAGTTGCTGTGAGAACAGGATGCTGGACTAGATGGGCCAATGGCTGATCCAATAAGCTCTTTAGAATTTCTCATGATGGCATCCGAAAATGCCAACGATGAGAGGAAAGGTGAAGAAAGGGGGAACAGCCTGAGTCTTTTACATAACTTGCTTGCAAAGGGATTGGGCAGAAAACCAACCCACCCGATAGGTGTGGAGACCTTGTTGATGCAAGGTTGAGCTCAGTTTACCTGTTGGAGGAGCAACTTCCTCTTTGCTCTGCTCCAGAGCCCAGTGTCGGTTTCTCCTGAGCCCCTCTGTCCTTTTTTGATCCCTCTTAATGGGAAAATTAAATATGCTTTAAGGGCTGTGTAAGGAGGAAGGTCAATATTGACCAGCACCTGCTCAGTCAACAGAAGATTACAAGAGCCACCTTCCTGCAACAAGGTCCTGGAGCTGAGCCAGCTGGGAAGATATTTTGGAGAATTGCAGTGGTGTGTGTGTTCCTGGAGACTGTTTTCAAATGTTAGGGAGCCTTGAGGGTTCCTTTTCTTTTGAGTGTATCAGGTATATTTTGCTGACAAAACAGCTGCAAGGTTCATTCCCTGACTGGCTCTCTGTTGGCCTACTGGCTTTGACCAGGTCCATACTGGTTCTCTTGTGAGATCTTGGGGCTGTGCGGTTTTGTGTGGGTTCTCATAGGCAGTTTCAACAGCAAGCCAACAGATCTGGGTTAAGGGCAGAGCTTCTCCATGTTCAGGATACCAACACAGCCCCATTGGGTAGATCTCAAGCATCCCCTATAGAAGGTTCAACTTCAGTCCTCCATTCTGAGGCTGCTGAGATAGCAAAGACCACTGCAAGGCAGAGTAGAACCTAATTTGTTATCAACACAAAAATGTGACGCTTCAGTGCGCAGGGTCAGCCCATTGATCCGTGGCTGTATGATTATAGTTCAATAACAAATTATTTTGCATCCTTTCTTATTTACCCAATTAGAGAGTGCAAGCTTGTAGGCAGGGACTCTCCCCACCGTTAAAAAAACCACAACTTTATTGAAAATTGTAAAAACATTTGCCAAACACAAAGTGTTGTCTCCCAAGATGAATGCATGTACAGATGTTACGTCTTGTCTGCAGCCATCCATACAGCATCAAAACAAACTTTTTCTATTACAGATGAAGCTCACATCCACAGGATAGGCTTCAGTCTAAAGCGTTCAGGTCATTTCTCCATAGCGGTGTACTTTTAAGTCTTACTCTTCTTACTCACAACATATTATACCCTGCTCTCTATATAAAAAGGCCCTCAGATTGGCTTATAAAAACCAGTACTAAGTCCTCGGTCCCTGACGTCAAGCTCTAAAAAGGCACAACACACAAGGAAAGAGGAAGGTGAGAGGAGGAGGAAAAAGCAAATTCATGCAGAAGTTCTTAAAAGTTGCAGCTGATGCCCATGGCAGTTCTTAGTGTCTTCACAGAATCATAGGACTTTGGAGTTGGGGGGACTCCAAAGGTTATCTAGTCCAGCCTGCTGCGATGCTGGATTTTTAAATTGCATTTTAACCTGTATTTTAAATTGGGGTTTTCCCCCCTTCTCCCTCTCTTTCCCCCCTATTATGTTTTTACTGTGATTTTTTTATTATTGGTGTTATCCGCCCTGAGCCCGGCTCTGGCCGGGGAGGGCAGGGTATAAATAAAATTTATTATTATTATTATTATTATTATTATTATTATTATTATGCCCTTGATAAAGAGCAGTCCTTCCCTTGAATCACCCCCCAGAGGTAGTGGACAGGGTCCAGGCCAGAAGGGCAGGGCACCTTGTACAGTACTTGAATTGGAAGGTACTTCATTACGACGATTGATTTATGAATGATGATGAAACTGCAGAGCTAAAACTGCGTGCAGAGCCCTCAGTGTAACCCAATGTCCTCTTTGTACCATCATTTCGCCCCCTGTAGGCCTGAATTCCATCAACCCCATGTCAAGCCTCCAGTACGCCATGATGGAAGATCCTGAGATCACCGAAGATTACATCGATTTGGATTTAAACGTAGGTTCCCTACACCCCACCCCAAGCCTGCGGGGCTCCCACTTAGCCTGGGAACCAGACCTCGCATGAACACATGTGCCATATAGCTCAGGAGCAGGACAGCTGCCCTGCATGTAGAAGGTCCCAGGAAGATCTCCAGGTAGGAGCGAGGAAGTCTTCTGCTAATGGGCATTGTAGACCCGCCTTCCCCAACCTGGTGCCCAACAGATCTTTTGGACCACAAGACATATCTGATGTAGCCAGCTGGACTCATAGTCCAAAATGACCGGAGGGGATCAGGTCGTAGAAGATGGATGGAAACAATATTGACGGATCCTCGGTTTGTCTTGCAGGATAACTTGGAAAATGATGACCAAAAGTCCAGCTGTAGCATTATTATCCATTTACGATGGGGTGGGAGGTTCACAGGCTATGAAGGACTTGCTCACAAATCTATTGACAGCTGGACAAACTATGATAGCCAGGAAGTGGAAGGGGCAAGGGGAATATAAAATGGAAGAATGGTGCAAGGAGGTGTGGAATATAGCTATTAACGATAAATTAGCGTGGGCCATTAAGGTAAGATGGGGAAAGTGCAGGAGAGATGATTTTGAGGAGATATGGAGAGTGTTTGGAGAATTTGTACTGTTAAAACGGAAAGGGGTCAAGCCATCACAAGAGGTGTTGAAATTTTGGGAGGTTGGATAGTTACAATGGAATGGTCTCGGGGGTGGGGTGCACAATTTTATTCTTATATATGTATGGTTATTGCTTTGTCAAAAGAAAAAGGAAGAAAATGAATAATCCCCTTGGCTAAGTTCTTGCATAGCTCTTACAACTCTGGCACATGTTGCCATACAACTCTGGTCCTCTCATTGGCTTGATCTAGCAGAACTCTTATCATGTTCAGAGAATGGCAACCAAAATCACCCAGGGAATGGAGAAACTCTCCCATGAGGAAAGGTTGCAGCACTTGAGATTTTTTCCCCTTCAAGTTTAGTTTAGAGAAAAGGTGACTAAGAAGCAGGTGTGATGAGGCCCTAACTACTGAAGGTAAAATAAAGGTAAAGGGACCCCTGACCGTTAGGTCTAGTCATGGCCGACTCTGGGGTTGCGGCGCTCATCTCGCTTTACTGGCCGAGGGAGCCGGCATACAGCTTTCGGGTCATGTGGCCAGCATCACTAAGCCGCTTCTGGTGAACCAGAGCAGCGCACGGAAATGCCGTTTACCTTCCCGCCGGAGCGGTACCTATTTATCTACTTGCACTTTGACGTGCTTTCGAACTGCTAGGTTGGCAGGAGCAGGGACCGAGCAACGGGAGCTCACCCCATCACGGGGATTTGAACTGCGACCTTCTGATCGGCAAGTCCTAGGCTCTGTGGTTTAACCCATAGCACCATCCGCGTCCCGTACTGAAGGCAATGGGGCCCTTTACATGTCCAGCTGTCCTTTGTCAACAACAAATTGTCACTGTTTTTTGTGTTGAATATATGCTATATGGTAATTTATGGACCTAACAGGTATCTAAAGCCATTTGCACATGTTGCCCTGCAACCAGTCCATGCAGAATGTAGGCACCCTATATATAGAAATGAGCAAACTAATGATATTTTAGGGAGCAGGCTAGCAGGAAGGGCCCATGACTTACATCATAGGAGCCTACGCAACACAAAACACTGTTGCTGTATGTAGGTTTTATTTTATTAGTTTTTTAATCTTATATTTTGGAAATGTTCATTCATTTTCTTTCCTTTAAGTGTTTTTTGTTGCCCCCAAGAGAGTGGGGCCCTAAGCTAGAGCTTGTTTAGCTTATACGTAAATCTGGCACTGCTATGAAGGGACATGATGGAAGCTCATTAAAAGCTTCCCCCCCTCTTTCATAACACAAGAACACCCAACGAAGTGGAACGAGATTCAAGACAGATAAATGGAAGTCCTTCCATTGTGTAATTGTGGAACTCATTGCCACAGGAGGTCATGATGAACCCAGATGGCTTCAAAAGAGGATCGGGCAAATCCATGGAGGAGAATAAGGCTACTAGGACTATTAGCCAGGATGGCGATGCCATACACCCACAACTGGAGTCAGGAAATGTTTCTGCGTACTAGTCGTTGGAAAACGCAGGAAGGGAGATGGCACTTAATTCTCTCTGTCTCTTTCCAAATCTCCGCAGGCTGTCATTGCGCTGATGGGGAAGCCAGTCGACTTCGAACCTGCCGGCCCTCTGCCCCCTTTCTCTCTGCCACCCCCAGAGACGGTTTCCGACGACTCCATGGTGAACATGGGCCTCTCGGAGCATCTCTTTGCAAGCCTTTTCGCCAGCCTGGAGCAATCGGGAGCCCTGAACCTCCAAATCGGAGGCCAGTCGGTCAGTACAGGGAGTGTTATTTGTGCGTAGTGAATGCCACCCTAAGCCGAGGCGAGCCCAACCTGTTTATTTATTTCCCAACATTTATACCCTCCTTGATTGCAATACACACGCACTCACACTCAAAGTGGTTTATGGAAAATATAAAACAATGGAATCGCCAATGAGAAGAAGTCACAGCAATAATTTAATTATTTAAATACCCTTTATTCATTAAAAAAAATATTTGCCTACTGCTGTGTGATTTAAAAAAATCTATCAAAGCAGTTTGTTGTTGTTGTTGTTGTTGTTGATGATGACGTTTATTTAAATCCCTCCTTTTCCCCTGTCAAGGACTCAAACTGGCTTACAGATAAAATAGAAACTGCTAAGCACAGGAAAACAATATTTAAGAAGGAATTAAACATCACACACACACACACACACACACACACACACACACACACACGTACGTTTAAACTTCCATGTATGTGTGTGTGTGTGTGTATCTACACACTATTCTAAAAGAAAAAAAAGTGTTTGGAGATAATGCAGAATAGAATCATAGAATCATAGAATCATAGAGTTGGAAGAGACCACAAGGGCCATCGAGTCCAACCCCCTGCCAAGCAGGAAACACCATCAGAGCACGCCTGACATATGGTTGTCAAGCCTCTGCTTAAAGACCTCCAAAGAAGGAGACTCCACCACACTCCTTGGCAGCAAATTCCACTGTCGAACAGCTCTTACTGTCAGGAAGTTCTTCCTAATGTTTAGGTGGAATCTTCTTTCTTGTAGTTTGGATCCATTGCTCCGTGTCCGCTTCTCTGGAGCAGCAGAAAACAGCCTTTCTCCCTCCTCTATGTGACATCCTTTTATATATTTGAACATGGCTATCATATCACCCCAATGGGACAGACTTCTGGAAACAGACAAACCTGGAATGCCCTGGACTCTCAGAGCAGGGGGACAGAGGAGAGACCCAAGCTGTTCCTAAGGCCCGAGACTGAGAATTCTTTGCTTCTTTTCAGAGCCACCTCACCACCTCCATGCTGGAGCAGGCCATCCCCTCGGTAAGTGATGCCCAGGAACCGATGCAGGCCTGGCGAACCCTTTATTTGATCTGAGAGGTATTTTAGCTGGGTGGAAGGATGTCAGGGGCCACATTCCAGTAGTGGGTGGGGCCAAACCCACTCGCAATAACACCCCTCTTTCTCTCTCTCTCCACCACACACCTTTTCTGTGGAGAGCCTGAATTGCTGTGGTTTAAAGAGCAGTTTTTTGCACAAAATGCTCTGCAAAAGAAAAAGGAAAAAAAAAGGGGGAGGGGAAAAGAGTGCTCAGATGTGGAGTTTTAAAGTTTTTAAGAGCAGGCCAAATAGTAAGTTGGAATAAGTCCTTAAGGGAGTCTGAGGGAGAAGGTAGAGGCAGTGGTGTAGCAGGGGTTGCCAGTGCCCAGGGACCATAGCTGTCAACTTTTCCCTTTTCTTGCGAGGGATCCTATTCGGAATAAGGGAATTTCCCTTTAAAAAAGGGAAACGTTGACAGCTATGCCAGGGACGGGGTACACATGTGCCTGCAAATCCGCGTCACCCAGGAGATTGCAGCTGCAGAGATAAGAAAAGAAGAAGAAGAGTTTGGATTTGATATCCCACTTTATCACTACCTGAAGGAGTCTCAAAGCAGCTAACAATCTCCTTTCCCTTCCTCCCCCACAACAAACACTCTGTGAGGTGAGTGGGGCTGAGAGACTTCAGAGAAGTGTGACTGGCCCAAGGTCACCCAGTGGCTGCATGTGGAGGAGCGGAGACGCGAACCCGGTTCCCCAGATTACGAGTCTACCGCTCTTAACCACTACACCACACTGGCTCTCAGTGGAAGAGTTGTTCCATTGTCTGGAGAGGTCACTTTCTGGTTCGCACGGAGAAGCCATTTTCAACGGAGCCCAGCGACGGAAGCGTGCAGCTGTATTGAGGCAGCGCCGGGTGTTGACATTTTGCGCCTCTAACAATTTTGCGCCCTGAGTAACCGCCCCTTGTGGTTCCCCCCACTACGTCATTGGGTAGAGCGTCTCTGCCAGGGCTAGAGGGGCCTAATTCAGCATAAGGCAGCTTCGGGTGTGCGATGGGCCACAACAATGCAAATAACAACCCCCTCCTTCCACTCCCACTATAGATCTCAAAGCGTTACCCCCAGGCTGTTGCCTTGATGCTCAACGTGGTGGTCAGCAAGCTTCCCATCATCAGCTTCCATGAGGGCGCAGGGATCCTGCGCCTCAGTCCCGCCATCCAGGTGGGCGTGGCTGAATCCGGATCTTTCCAACAGTCGCAGGCACTCTTCACCTTGGGCGTGGTGAGTAAAAACACCTAGCGTTTGTTTCCTTGTTCTCCTGCCTTGGCGACTTGCAGCTCTCAGGGAGATGATGGCTGGCTCAGCAAGAAGGTTGGATGTCAAAGATCTTCCTGGACACCAGCCGTTGTGCTGGGCTCCATCTGAATGCAGCTGGGATGAATCTCACAATGCAAATGCACATCTTTGTGTGAACCGCCATCTACAATGGTTGTACATCCATATGAATCTCCTAAGGGACCATCTCACCTCATAGATCCCTGCGCTGCAGCTATGCTCCTCAGATGAGGGCACTGCTGAGACCACCATGTGACCTAGGGATGTGCTTAGAACCTGGGCTTTTAGTGTTGCAGCTCCAGCCCTCTGGAACGAGTTGCCAGCTCAAATAAGACAAATGTGTAGCACATTGATATTTTATGCATTGTCCTCCTGAAAATCAAGCAAGCGATGCATTGAAGAAGAAGTCTCCTCTTGAAATCTGACCTGGTCATTTTAGGGAAAATTAATTGTACTATTGTAGAAACGGGGCTATTTCTTTTAGTTTACCAAGTCTGCATTTTTATTTGCAGTCTGCTATCTGTATTTTACCTTACTACCCGACTCTTTGGCAGCTTTCAGTTGTCAAGTGGTTTATAAATATTTGCACTTGTCCATCGACACTCTGGAGACTGAGTGTGCCTGCCCATGTAGGATTTTAAAATATAGGATTTCTGCTCTCAGTGGGCAATGGGTTGGGCGAGCTGTGGGTGGGTCAGGGAGCTGAAGCAAGCTGCACAGGTGGGGGTGTGGGTGTGTGTGCGGCAGGTTGGGTGAGGTGTAAAAGGAAGAGGGTTGGCAGTGGGTGGGGTGGGTTCGGCAGGGTGTGGGGTGTGTGTGACAAGCAACACAATCACAGCTGGCAGCTCCTATTATTGCAACAGTTGTGCCTTGGTTGTGGAACGCCTTGGTACTCGTACGTTTTGGCTCCCGAACTTTTGAAACCCGGAAGTGAGTGTTCAGCTTTTTGAACTTTTTTTGGAAGCCCAACGTCCGATGCGGCTTCCGCTATTGTTTCCGGTGCGCCTGCGCAATCGGAAGCCAATCAGAAGCCGCGCCTTGATTTTGGAATTCGAACGGACTTCCTGAACACATTCTGTTCAAAAACCAAGGTACAACTGTACAGTCATACCTCGGGTTGAAGTTGCTTCAGGTTGAGCACTTTTGGGTTGCGCTCCGTGGCGACCTGGAAGTAACGGAACGCGTTACTTCCGGGTTTCGCCAGTCGCGCATGCACAGACGGTCAAAATGATGTCATGCGCATGTGCGGAAGCAGCAAATCGCGACCCACGCATGCACAGACGCGCAGTCGCCAGTTGCGTTTGCTTCAGGATGCGAACGGGGCTCCAGAACGGATCCTGTTCGCATCCTGAGGTACCACTGTATATTACCATTACTATTAATTACTATTGCTATTACTATTAAAATTTGAATACCACCCTTCATTTGAAGATCATAGCATGGTTCACAACATAAAGGTATTATAAACAAACAAGGAAACAAACAAACAAACGAAGGATAGAGCCTTTGTAGCTTTCTCTCATGAAAACGATCCCTTCCCGGTCTTCTGTTTGCAGGACCTGACCTTAGCTGTCAAGCTGGATGTCACCATTACAAGTCTCCATCTGACAGTTGCCGTCCATGGGTGAGTTCAGCCAGACATTTTACTTTCCTTTTTTATTATTATATAATAATATTTATTCCTTTTACAACAATTTAAACACTTACAAAAAAAACAACAAAGAAAAAACAGTACATTAAAATACAAAAACACTACATAGAAATTAACAAAACAAAACAAAAAGAACTTAAAAACACATCAAAAAAGAAAAAAAGAAAAAACTTCCAATATCTTATCTTTCTTTCACATATTTCCACGGCCTCCTCACACCTCCCTTTTTGTATTCCACTTCTATTAATTATTTCAGCAGTTCCTTTCCATCTTCCCCTGTTTTCTATCCTATAATTATCTTAACACATTTTAACCTTATTTTCCTTTAATACTCTATTAATCTATTTCTACTTAATTCCTTATAACATTTCTACTGAAGCCATATAACTTCATTCCAACAGACATTTTACTTTCCTTACCATTTTACTTCCTGCCTCACCCCCCACCCCGCCTGATGAGGGTCAACTGTTTTCTGCTTTCATTGTGGCGAAGGATGAAAGGGACGCTCCAGTCCCCGTCCTTTCCTCAGGGACCTGATGGACCTGAGTGTCCAGTTCAGTGGTGCAGCTGATGCCATCATGGCTCATGTCGTTCTGCTTTGTCTTGCAGAGATGTTGGTCTGGAGGTGGAGTCTTCTAGCATGGAGATAACAGAGGTACGCCACCCGCCGTTTGCCTTCCTTGCTGCGCTCCATGGACGTAGCCAGGATTTTTGCTTGGGGGGGATTTAGCTGGGGTGGTGGTGGTTTGCTGTGTATTTTACGCCCATGTTGTGCTCCCAAGTGGGTCCAATAGATGTTCTGAGCCTGTTTAGGCCACGTCTTCTGCAGTATCTCAAGACTCTAAGGGGCTCTGGGTGCCTGAGCACCCACAAAAAAATTGTTGTGGGTGCTCAGCTCCCACACTGCAGGGTCCCTGACGCAACCTCTGAGGTTCTACAGCAGGGGTCAGCAAAATTTTCTCTGGCCGGCTTTCAACAAAATATTAAAATACAGTAATGCACCAAACATTAAAAGCTTCCCTAAACAGGGCTGCCTTCAGATGTATCCTAAAAAGTCTGGTAGTTGTTTTTCTCTTTGACATCTGGTGGGATTCAGGTGTGCAAAAGTTGTGTAAAAGCCCCAGGTCTGACCCTTAGAGTCATCTCTAACTTTTGGCCTCTCCTACTGTACATTGATCCTCTGTGTCGTTTCACCAGTAATGAATTGTAGCCTCTCTGCAGACGGTTTTTTCATTCTTACTCTGTGCGCACGTGGCAGAATAATAATAATAATAATAATAATAATAATAATAATAATAATGTATACCCCTCCCATCTGGCTGGGTTTCCCCAGCTACTCTGGGCAGCTACCAACCAAATATTAAAAATGCAATACAGCATTAAACATTAAAAACGTCCCTAAGCAGGGCTGCCTTCAGATGTCTTTTAAAAGTAAGATAGTTGTTTATTGCCTTGACATCTGCTGGGAAGGCGTTCCACAGGGTGGGTGCCACCACCGAGAAGGCCCTCTGCCTGCTTCCCTGAACCTCGCTTCTCGCAGGGAGGGAACCGCCAGAAGGCCCTCGACGCTGGACCTCAGTGTCTGGGCTGGACGACAACATCTGCTGAATGACAGCATCTGCTGGTAGGGCTGTGAAGGAGCCCTGAGTCTACAACCCTGGGGAGTCGCTGCAAGACATGGAAGAATCTGTCCATTTCGGCTGCTACGGTTTCTCTTTCTTCCATTCTTAAATTCAGTTCTCCACATTTTGCAGCAATTTGTGATGTTTCATACAGTGAAACTTCACTAGTGTCTTAGTGCAAATTTCCCCTAATAAACACATTTTTATATGCAGTTTTGACCGAAGAGGCATTTTTTACAAGCAATTTCCCCACATGCAATGTATTTTTTGCCTCTTATATCTTCATTTTCATGCACTCTTCCCCTTCACCACATGCATTCTTGTAAACGTTGGTTGCTTTGAGAACTGCATTGCAAAATTCAGGCGAGTGCGGATTTCAAAGCCTAGTCCTGTGTTTCGGTCTGCCTATTGTTTCTGAATGTGTGAATTGGATAGAATAGGCTTTCGGTGCTTCGTCAATCAAATTTCTTCCCCATCCCTAGTTGCTGTCAGTCAGAGCAGATGAAATTGTGCTAGGAAGACCGGTGGTCTGACTCTGCACAAGGGAGCTTCCTTTGCTCCTCTGTGCTCACTCATGTCCAGATCTGGGACCAACCCATTGCCTTTTCTCTCCTGGCAGATCTCCCATTTGAGACGTGTGGTCCTCTCTGAATTTCAGGATGCTTTCCTGGCTCACGTCAACGGTAATGCAGGCGAATCGCTTCAACAGCCGCTCCACTGAGGTCCTAGGAGCTCAGCACTGAGAGGGAGGGGGGCTGTGTGAAGAACATGGGGCCATGCCCCACAGTTGCCCCATCAAGTTGGGGGTGTTGACCGTGTTGTCGTTTTCCCTTTGCAGCTGCTCTGAGAGTGGGGATCTCTCTTCCCAAGCTCAACAACGTCCAGTACATCGAGCCTGAGATCGAGATTCATGAGGTGAGACTCCTTGGGCTGCGCTGCCTCCGTCCTTTTCTTCAGCCCCACTTATTTAGCTAAGACATTCCCAAATCACCTGCCTGAGGGTTTCCCCACAATGGGCATCTGGTTGGCCACTGTGAGAACAGGATGTGGGACTAGATGCTGGGCCCATTGGCCTGGTGCAGCTGATGTTCTTCTGAGTGGTCCATGATGAACACAACAGCTGAAGATGCTCAAGATCTTCTCCTTAAACACTGAGCATAACTGAGGTCAGATTGACCCACCTTTGGAAAACATGGGAGCCTGTCCATAGTAGTAGCAATAATAATAATAATTTATTATTTATACCCCACCCATCTGGCTGAGTTTCCCCAGCCTCTCTGGGCAGCTCCCAATTGAGTGTTAAATACAATACAGCATTAAATATCAAAAACGTCCCTAAACAGGGCTGCCTTCAGATGTCTTTTAAAAATAAGATAGCTGCTTGTTTCCTTCACATCTGCTGGGAGGGCATTCCACAGGGCGGGTGCCACCACTGAGAAGGCCCTCTGCCTGGTTCCCTGTAGCTTTGCTTCTCGCAATGAGGGAACCGCCAGAAGGCCCTCGGAGCTGGACCTCAGTGTCCAGGCAGAACGATGGGGGTGGAGACGCTCCTTCAGGTATACTGGACCAAGGCCGTTTAGGGCTTTAAAGGTCAGCACCAACACTTTGAATTGTGCTTGGAAATGTACTGGGAGCCAATGCAGATCTCTCAGGATCTGTGTTATGTGGTCTTGGCGGCCGCTCCCAGTCACCAGTCTAGCTGCCACATTCTGGATTACGTAATTGCAGTTTCCAGGTCACCTTCAAAGGTAGCCCCACGCAGAGCGCATTGCAGTGGTCCAAGCAGGAGATAACCAGAGCATGCACCACTCTGGCGAGACAGTTTGTTGGCAGGGAGGGTCTCATCCTTCATACCAGATGGAGCTGATAAACAGCAGCCCTGGACACAGAATTGACCTGCGCCTCCATGGACAGCTGTGAGTCCAAAATGACTCCCAGGCTACGCACCTGGTCCTTCAGGGGCACAGTTACCCCATTCAGGACCAGGGAGTCCTCCACACCCGCCCGCTTCCTGTCCCCCCTCCTGTCTGGGCAGAACGATGGGGGTGGAGACGCTCCTTCAGGTATACAGGACCGAGGCCATTTAGGGCTTTAAAGGTCAGCACCAACACTTTGAATTGTGCTCGGAAACGTACTGGGAGCCAAATGTTGTTGGACCACATACGACTCCCATCATTGCTGCCCCTTGGCCATGCTGGTTGGGCCGATGGGATTTGGAGTGCAACGCCATCTGAAGGGGCACTGCGTTGGCTCCTGAGTGCCATCTTGCACCCAGTCTCCTGAGACCCAGAAATAAACTGCTTCTGTGTAGGATAATTTGAACACCTTTCCATATTGTTCCTCTACCCAAGATCCCTCTGGCAGCATGTATTGACTCTCTTCTTGCCTTTTAACTTACAGGGTTATGCTCAGGTCAACTGTGACCTTGACTACCAGCCCTGAGCTGAAAAGAAGAGCACAGAGTCCTCCTCTGCAAGGCACATTTATCTCTGCTCTTTGCACCTGCAAATCCTTTCGCTTTTGAATGAAGGAGAGTCTACCTTTCTTTGCTGCATGACACAGAGGAAACACACCTGGTGGTTTGGCAGCAGGCAATGAACAGGGGTGCGATCTGGAACCCATTCGCTCAGAAATAAGGCCTGCCAATTTAAAGGAAACTTACTTCCCAGTAACGCACGGGTTCATGCATTCATTAGGTGTTCTGCTTTCTCAATTCTTTTCCTGTAAATGTTGTTGAGTGAAATAAATACTATGGGCAGCAATCGAGCCAAAGCAAAGTGTGATGATTTCAGTGGATTCTTAACTTTTCCTGAGGAAATCAATGGGATTTGCAAGTGCTGAAATGCAACTGGATCGTGTCCATCATTTTGCCTCATTAAAATACTCTTTCTGATCTCAATTGGTTGGGGTGTTGCAGCCGTTTTCAGAATGAAATAGCCAACCATCATGCTCTGCAGGGTTTTATTTTATTTTTTTAAATAATATTTTATTAGGATTTTCCAAAAAGTTGACAACCAACAAAAATCAACAAAAATCACAAAAAACTGCAGGGTTTTAGCCAATGAAGTTTTCCAGTTACAGCACAAGGGCTTTCGCCTGCACAGTGGGACTTCCTCTTCCCATACACCCCATATCTATTTTAGGGGTTCCCCCAGTCCCTAGTTTTCCTGGTGGGAGATGTATAAGGCCCAGAGTTAAAACACGAGAGGGCCACGTCCGGCTCCTTTGCAGAGGGTGCTCAAGAGGAACCCTTGAGCGGATCTTGGCCATGCCTGATCCACAAGTTGGATTATAGCACCCCGCGCTCCATGTGCAGCTGGCTCCCTCCACATGCTGCTCCCTCCTTTTAAAAAGCACACAGTGGCATTTTTATTTTCCAGGTGTTTTAGGGGGCTCACAACCGCCTCCTCCCCTGGGTCTCCTTCCACTCTAATCCCAACATCTTTCCCCTTCGTCTTTGCTTACAGCAGCCCTTGCGCCAGACAGTGATGCAAAGAGTTGCTGTGTAAATGACGACATTAGTCACGTAATAGTGAAGGGCGTTTATGGTTTAATACCCCCCTGGAGCCCATAGCTGGGAGAGTAACTCTCCGCAGGGGCCCACAGCAGTCGTTGCGTTGATGTTTTATGGATATCAGCCCTGAAATACCAAATGCAGCGGCTGTTTCTGGTTGCGGCCAAAGGAGCCAAAGCAGTCGCAAGGATCATGGGCAGCATCACAAAACAGAAACACCCTCTGGCCGTTGAGGAAAGCGAAGAAGTTTTATTGTGAAGAGAGACACCGTGAGCGTAGAATATCACCCACAATCCAGCCCTCAAAGCTTAAAAAGCACCTAAATTGTACCAGTGACTGTGGGACAGCAAACCTTAGTTGACATCTGTCTATCTCGGGAGACAATGGAGAAGGGCATGAAGTTTAACAAGTGCCTTTGAATAAGGGCATTTGAAAACTGCGCATATCAAACTATTGTTTTCTCCCTCTGGGGTGACTCCTCTGATTCGTAGAGTTGAGTGGTGAAGGTCATACCTCAGGGGGAGGCTTGCATGTTTGAATGCCCCCTCCCCCAAATTGTGCCTCCCTCCCTGCACACAGAAATGTAGCATGCCAAGGAGAAGCCTATGCTGAACTCTTCATTTCAATCTGCAATCTGCTAGCTTTCTGTGCCTAGGGAGATGCTCTGTTTCCAAAGGAGAGCTCTAAGATGTGAGATCTTTCACCTGCAGTCTGGAATAATTGAGCTACCTGGTCTTCTGTGTTTTATGCTTCTGCTCCTTTGCATTGGACCCGCAGCCTAACACAGAGAAGATGAGTTTGGATTTGATATCCTGCTTTATCACTACCCTAAGGAGTCTCAAAGCGACTAACAATCTCCTCCCTCTGTGAGCTGAGTGGGGTTGAGAGACTTCAAAGAAGTGTGACTGGCCCAAGGCCACCCAGCAGCTGCATGTGGAGGAGCGGGAAAGCGAACCCGGTTCACCAGATGTCAGGGAACTGCCATCGGAGCCAGAGGCGGAGGGAAGGCTCCAGAGGGATGCCGGAGAGGGTCCCAGTAGGGAGAGAGGCAGCCCATCTGATGGGGAAGGAAATCAGCGTAGCACCAGTGGAGAAGGGGGGCAGATGGGGGGATCGGCGAGGGGGCTCCAGGACTCCTCGCCAGAGACCAGCGGGGAGAGCACGGGTCCTCTGCTGCCCACACCCTCCCTGCGCAGAAGACTTCTGCGCAGGGAGAGTAGGAGGAGACTAGGCGTCAAAGAAGAAGTTTGCTGGAAGAAGTTCAAGAAACGCCCACTGACTGATTCTGCCAGCGATTGAGACAGTCACGGGTGAGAGGCTGTCCAGACAGAAAGGGTTCACCCAGGTAACCTAGCTAGGAGTGGCGACAACTTACGCACGAGCAACCCCTAGAACCATTACAACAGATTACGAGACTACCGCTCTGAACCACTACACCACGCTGGCTCTCTGAAGCACACTGAAGCACATTCAGACCCGGACTCATGCTAAAATTCAGCATGGGTTTGCAATGCCAAACTTAAGAGTCCACTCTTACCTTTCTAATATTATTTTTCGTATCCATCTTTTCCGTTAATGGAAAACACCCAAGGCCTAACCACCTACAGACTATGCAAAGACTCCTGCCTCCTATTTGAGAGAGTCCTGCTATTAGCATCTAGCATTTGTGCAAATCACCCTCAACTTGACCCCAGGCAGGAAACAAAGTGCAAAATGTTATTGTTGTTTTTTTATTATTATTATAATTTATATACTGCCCTATACCCGGGGGTCTCAGGGCGGTTCACAGTTAGGAAAATAAAGGATAAGATAGGTATAGGTTCTTCTTTCTTGCTAAGATATCCCTCTTGCCTTCCTGCCGCAGCCGAAACCAGGTGGAATGTCTTCAGATGCGAGGTCCCCTTGGCCATCTCACACACACAGTGCCAGCATCCCCTGCAGATGTTGGAAAAGCGAAAAGTTTAGCTCATTGTCTCCCATAAATAACAGACGGTGACATCTGGGAGAAAAGAATTTTCTCTTGGGAGAAAAGCAATGACAAACCTGCATCCTAAAATGCAGAGACATCACCTTGCCAACAAAGGTCCTTATAGTTAAAGCTATGGTTTTCCCAGTAGTGATGTATGGAAGTGAGAGCTGGACCATAAAGAAGGCTGATCGCCGAAGAATGGATGCTTTTGAATTATGGTGCTGGAGAAGACTCTTGAGAGTCCCATGGACTGCAAGAAGATCAAACCTCTCCATTCTGAAGGAAATCAGCCCTGAGTGTTCATTGGAAGAACAGATCCTGAAGCTGAGGCTCCAATACTTTGGCCACCTCATGAGAAGACAAGACTCCCTGGAAAAGACCCTGATGCTGGGAAAGATGGAGGGCACAAGGAGAAGGGGACGAGATGGTGGGACAGTGTTGTTGAAGCTACCAGCATGCGCTTGACCAAACTGTGGGAGGCAGTGGAAGACAGGAGTGCCTGGCATGCTCTGGTCCAGGGGGTCACAAAGAGTCGGACACGACTAAGCGACTAAACAACAACAACTTCCATAAATAAATGGTGGGGATCGTATTAGGACAGGCCTACATAATTTAGGAAGAATCTGAGTGCTGGAGGAAGTCCTAAGCAGTGAAGAGCAGAAGATCTATGAGTCTTCATGTCTTCTCTCTGCATTCCAGCCCATGGAAACTAGGGATAGAAGAATCTATCCAATTCAATTCCTCTCCATTTTTCATTTTCCCCAATCAGCTATCCACATCAGTTTGTAATTTTATTTAAAGTCCTCCTGCTGGGAATTTCTGGGAATCGCAGCAGGGGAGAGTGCGCTTTTGCTTGGATCCTGCTGGCTTGGCCGCTGTGGGGTAGACTGCTGTGAGAACAGGCTGCTGGACTCGTATGGAAACGTACTGGGAGCCAATGTTGGTGTTTCAGGACCGGTGTTATATGGTCTCGGCAGCCACTCCCAGTCACCAGTCTAGCTGCCACATTCTGGATTAGTTGTAGTTTCCGGGTCACCTTCAAAGGCAGCCCCACATAGAGTGCATTGCAGTAGTCTAAGCGGGAGATAACCAGAGCATGCACCTCTCTGGCGAGACAGTCTGCGGGCAGGTAGGGTCTCAGCCTGCATACCAGATGGAGCTGGTAGACAGCTGCCCTGGACACAGAATTGACCTGCGCCTCCATGGACAGCTATGAGTCCAAAATGACTCCCAGGCTGCGCACCTGGTCCTTCAGAGGCACAGTTACCCTATTCAGGACCAGGGAGTCCCCCACACCAGCCCGCCCCCTGTCCCCCCAAAACAGTACAGTCATACCTCGGGTTACAGATGCTTCGGGTTGCGCGATTTTGGGTTCCGCACCGCACCAAACCCAGAAGTACTGGAACGGGTTACTTCAAGGTTTCGGCACTTGCGCATGCGCAGAAGTGCTAAAACACGCTTTGGGCATGCACAGAAGTGCCAAATCGCGACCTGCACATGTGCAGACGTGGCACTGCGGATTGCGAACACTGCAGGTTGCGAACGTGCTTCCCGAACGGATCACGTTCGTAACCCGAGTGTCCACTGTACTTCTGTCTTGTCAGGATTCAACCTCAATCTGTTAACCTCCATCTTATGCTATTATTATGGGATATGCATCTCCATCCAGAGCCACTAGTTCTTACTCATAGTTTACCACAGCTAGAGCTGAATCAGGGCTACGCTGTAGAGAACAGTGTCTGCTAGGGAAGTAATATATAAGGAATATTTCTCTTGGAAAGCAGATTATCTGGCTGGTCCAGTATGGAAAAGCATCTTACGTGTGGGATTTGCTAATGGGGAGAACATGGAGCAGAGAGTCCAGTCACGTTTGGATGCGAGGCTGGAGGGAAGGTACCAGTGGCAGACTTACCTGCGTAAAGTGAATCGCTGGATAATTCCAGCGAATGTGCAGCACTGGAGGCAGAGGGATCCCGACGTCCAGGCACTCTGAAAAAAGCAACCAGAATAAGCACAATAGCAAAGAAGAGCAGAGAGGAGCATTTTCTTTTGGTCATGTCTGAGCCATAGTCTAGACCAGCATTCCCAAAACTTTTCATTGGCCTAGGCAAGTCAAACCGCGGCATTAGCAACACTGAAGTGACCTCCCCGAGTGTGATGGCCTGGGACTCTGGCTCGGACTCAGACCCAGAGGAGTCTCAGTCCGCACCGGATCCTTTGCCTCAGGCATCACCTGAACCAAGTCTGGGGCCTGATCCTGAAGAGTTCCAGTCTGCACAGGTTCCCCTGCAACAAGCACCAGCTGGGCCGTGTCAGGGGCCTGAGCCTGCCCTGGCTCCAGATGCAGGAATGACCTCGTTGCCTCTAGCTGGGCCGTCACTTACAGCTGCTCCACTACCAGTTGGGTCAGGGAAGGCTGAGGCGGCCCCTGGGTCTAGTAACCCACCGACGTCTCCTGAGCTGCAGAGACTGACGTCTGAGAGAAGGAGAGACCTGAGTACTCGCAGGAGGAGTGCTCACCTTCGGGCAAGACAGGGAGGTGAGTCGCCAGGGGATCAGGACCGCCCTGACAGAGATAAAAGGCTGCTGGACCCTGCCCCAGGTTGCGGGAGCAATGTTGCTGTTTGCCTGAACCTGCCTGTGATCCTGTGCCTGACCTCGCCTGGTTTCCTGCCTCGTGTCCTGCCTCGGCCCTGTTTAACTGACTCCTCGCGGAACCCTTGGATTTGGGACCGGACCTGGACCACGTTACTCGGGTTACCCCTGGGCCCAGCACACCGGGGCACAAGCCTGGGCAGTGTCCCCGGAGGTCCTGGGATGCTCACACAACAAGACCGCCCTCTCACCCTCACTGATGTGGTCTAAAGGGAAGCAGAACAAGACCTTTGGCATCAGTTGGGCTGCAGGAGTTGCCGAAAGGAGGCGTACAAGGCACCATCCAAATCCACATACAAAGAAACGCACCAACAAAAATGGAGAATACGTTTTTTTAAAAACCAGAAGCATTTTTACTTGGTATTATAGGTCAGGACATTAATAGGCAAGATGTTAAATTGTTTTTATAGGCAACAACTGCGGCAAGAGTATTGTTAGCCCAGAAATGGAAACAAGAAGAAATTCCGACGAAGGAAGAATGGCAGACGAAATTAATGGACTATGCAGAATTAGATAAAATGACAGGAAGGATTCGAAACCTGCGGGACCAGAGATTTACAGAAGATTGGAAGAAGTATATGAACTATTTGAAAAGCAATTGTAACCAACAAATTATGCTAGTAGGACTACAAGAAGTTTTGTAAGGAGAAATATAGGAAGTGCTACAAAGTAGATAAAAAATAGAGATATTGGTTTCTGAGTTTTAAATGTAACAGGGAAAATAAGAAATGTATTGTCAGGGAACTGCCATCAGTGCCGGAGGGAGAGAGCAAAATCCAGAGGGATTCCAGAGAGCGTCCCGGGAGTGGGAGAGGCAGCCCATCCTCTGGGGAAGAGAATCAGTGTAGCACCAGTGGAGAAGGGGGGCAGATGGGGGAAGCGGTGAGGCGGTCCCATGACTCCTTGCCGGGGACCAGCGGGGAGAGTAGGGGTCCTCCGCTGCCTACGCCCTCCTTGCGCAGAAGGCTTTCGCGCAGAGAGAGTAGGAGGAGACTAGGCGTCAAAGAGCTTCTTTGCTGGAAGAGGTTTAAGAAACGGCCACTGACGGATTCTGCCAGCAATTGAGACAGCCAAGAGAGTGGCTGTCCGGACAGAAAAGGTTCACTCAGGCAACCCAGCCAGGTGTTTCCACTGGCTTACGCACGAGCAACCCCTAGAACCATTACATGTATACTAAGAGATTACATTGGGAAATTTTCAGACAGGACTGATGGAAGTCAAAAAAATTGAATAAGATGTAAAGATATGTTTAATTACTGTAGAAAATGGTATGTTAAAAAAATTATAAAAATTTATATATAAAAATAAACAAAAATGGAGAATCTAAACACTCTTATGCATCAGTGTTGCAGTTGTGGCTCCATGAACATGGGAAGGTTGAGATCGGTATTAGAGCTTATCCGTACTTCGTCTCGTCCTGCTGCTTTCTCTGAGGAAAACTGCTCTTTAGTGCTCCATCGGAGCAAACAGCTACCGTATTTTTCGCTCTATAACACGCACCTGACCATAACACGCACATCGTTTTTAGAGGAGGAAAACAAGGAAAAAAAATCTGAATGAAACAGTGGATGTATCATTTTTGTGCTTCATGCTGTGGCCACAGACATGTGATCTGATGGTGAATTTGGGGTAGCTCAATGCAAAGATCCTGAGGATCCATGTGGATCCATGCTTTTTAACCACATTTTTGCACCATTGCAGCCCCAGGCAACAGTGGGTGTGTGATTTTTGGGGGGCAGGCTGCTATGTGATCTGATGGTGAATTTGGGGTGGCCCAATGCAAAGATCCTGAGGATCCATGTGGATCCATGCTTTTTAACCACGTTTTTGCACCATTGCAGCCCCAGGCAACAGTGGGTGTGTGATTTTGGGGGGGCAGGCTGCTATGTGATCTGATGGTGAATTTGGGGTGGCCCAATGCAAAGATCCTGAGGATCCATGTGGATCCATGCTTTTTAACCACGTTTTTGCACCATTGCAGCCCCAGGCAACAGTGGGTGTGTGATTTTTGGGGGGCAGGCTGCTATGTGATCTGATGGTGAATTTGGGGTGGCCCAATGCAAAGATCCTGAGGATCCATGTGGATCCATGCTTTTTAACCATGTTTTTGCACCATTGCAGCCCCAGGGCAACAGTGGGTGTGTGATTTTGGGGGGCAGGCTGCTATGTGATCTGATGGTGAATTTGGGGTGGCCCAATGCAAAGATCCTGAGGATCCATGTGGATCCATGCTTTGTAACTACATTTTAAGTGGGGAGTGAAGGAAAAACACAGAAGGGACAAGAGAGCGGTGTGCAGAGAAGCAGCTGGCTAAGAAAGCAGGAGAGGGATTTAACGGGAGGGAGGAAAGAAAGGCAAAAGTTTCCACAAACCGAAGCCAGCTTTCTCTCTCCTCCTGCATGTTTTCTGGCTGCCTGCGAGGAGCACGGAGAGGAATTAGAAGGAAAGACCTCTGCTTTCCCCTCTGCTTGCCTGGAGGGGAGGGGATTTGCCTGCTCTTTGTTCCGTTTGAGCAAACACAGCAACGAAACAGAGGAGGGTGGGCAGTAAGACCCTGAGGCAGAATGCAGGAAAGCAACCACTTCCTCTTTTCAGGTTTCCCTTCTCCGACACAACGCGCTTTGATTTTTGCTGATTTTTGTTCCTGCGCTCCCCTAATCGGCTCCAGGGACCCCCCCCCACATTCGCTCCATAACACGCACAGACATTTCCCCTTCCTTTTTAGGAGAAAAAATCTGCGTGTAATAGAGAGAAAAATACGGTATTTGAATTTTCTCCAGATTGCCGTTTGCTATGATTTAGAGCTAAGGAGTGGGTTTTCCCTGGAAAGTCAAAGTGTGAGAGGGCTTTTCATGTATAGAGGATGTGTCAGAGATGGAATTTGAGCTGCCTTACCGTTGACTTGTGGCACAAATGTTTCTGCTATAAGCAACTTCATCAACTTCACGAGGACAGAGACCTGTAAGACAGAACAGCGGAGGCAGTGATCTAGGAATCAAACTGGCAGAGGATGGCGCATACATCCCAGTGGAATTCACTCAGAGTCAGGATCCTTTCCAGCCGCAGCTTAGCAGTCGCTTCTTTGGCTCCGAATACCCACCCACACCAGTTTAGCATTTAGGCAGCTATTCCCAGGTTTGCACTCTCGGGGTATTTGCAGCAACAGTGGACCACTCCCCCTCCACCAGTTTATGTACCTCCCCCCCCAAAGGACTGTGTGCAGGCAGCCAGAGACTATGCCTGCATGGAAACTGCCTCTGCTCCTCCCTCTTCAGTCCCCTCCTGGTTCTGGGATACTGTGGTGCAGGAGAGGGAGGGGAAGCACCTGGCCCTTCACTTGCCTGACCTGCTTCCTCCTCCTCTTCTGACCCATCCTGTGCCCCACCTTCTGGCTCTGAAGCTTCCCCTGCCTCCGACTCTTGTCTCCTGGCTGCTACACTTCCCTACAAATCACTGGCCCCCTCTCCTGAGTCAGAGACCTGCCCCTACCCCCCTGAAGCTCTCTGGAGCCAAACTTCATCTCCCTTCCACAAACACTGCTCCCACCTCTCTGTTTTGCCTGGCTTCCCATGGCCAAGATGAAGCTTCTAGAACAGGCATAGGCAAACTCGGCCCTCCAGATGCGTTGGGACTACAACTCCCATCATCCCTAGCTAACAGGACCAGTGGACAGGGATGATGGGAGTTGTAGTCCCAAAAAACATCTGGAGGGCCGAGTTTGCCTATGCCTGTTCTAGGGGGTCCCCTATTTAAGCAAATGTTTGCGTGTCAGATTGTTCTGTCTATCTGTCTCTCTGTCTAGCTAGCTGTGTCTCTATTGCTTCTACTTTAATACTGTAGCCAATTCTTGTCCCTATGGAAGGTGCAATCAAGGCGTCAAATCAATTCGGTCAATCACTAAATGGAAAAGAGCTTACGTTAACAGGTCCAACTTGGGAAGAAACCAGGAGCAGCTCAAGACTGTGGAAAGAAGAAGTTGTACATAAGGGTCAAGAGAGACATCATGGAGGACCCAAGTGAGCCAGTTACATCCCAAAAGAAAGGACAGACGTGACAATTCACGTCATGCTGCCTCCCAGGACTGGCCAAAATAGGAAACTGCTGGACGCCCAGCCACACAGGCAACTAATCCAGAATGCGGCAGCTAGACTGGTGACTGGGAGTGACCGCCGAGACCACATAACACCGGTCTTGAAAGACCTACATTGGCTCCCAGTACGTTTCCGAGCACAATTCAAAGTGTTGGTGCTGACCTTGAAAGCCCTAAACGTCCTTGGTCCAGTATACCTGAAGGAGCATCTCCACCCCCATTGTTCTGCCTGGACACTGAGGTCCAGCGCCGAGGGCCTTCTGGCAGTTCCCTCACTGTGAGAAGCCAAGTTACAGGGAACCAGGCAGAGGGCCTTCTCGGTGGTGGCGCCCACCCTGTGGAACGCCCTCCCACCAGATGTCAAAGAGAACAACAACTACCAGACTTTTAGAAGACATCTGAAGGCAGCCCTGTTTAGGGAAGCTTTTAATGTTTAATAGGTTTTGTATTTTAATATTCTGCTGGAAGCCGCCCAGAGTGGCTGGGGAAACCCAGCCAGATGGGCGGGGTATAAATAATAAATTATTATTATTATTATTATTATTATTATTATTATTATTATTAGGAAGGCTCTTTATCCCAATAGACCAGAGTAAGTGAGGTGATATCCCTTGAGACTTATAAAGTCTTCTGGTTCCAGGTCAGGCTTGCTTTCTGGTCTGGACAAGATTGTTGGGTTTCTTTCACTCCAAGCTCAACCGCACAGCAGCAGGGCCTGACTGCAGCCGACGGGAGCTATAGGACAAAAGATCTGGAGGGCACCAGGTTGGGGAAGTCTGCTCTATTGAAGGACCACACATATCTGCTATTGGGTCCCTGAAGCACAGATTCACACAAAGCGGCAAAATGTCCTTGGGGGTTTTTAACAGGATTTTTATTTGAAGTGCATATGCAAAACAAAGGTACAGGGTGATCAGTACGCAACCTGCACACAGTAGTCAGGGTGCGCCCCCTTTATATAGATTTGCAGAACAGAATACCACCTGATCTCCTGTAAGCCACCTGATTTCTTGTAAACCGAAAGTTATGGCAACTTCCTATGTCCTTACATGGGCTTGCCCCCCCCCTTTCCTTCCTGCACCAGCCTCTCCACGCCATGAGCCTCAACACGTGTTCAAATGTAAATAATAATAATAATAATAATAATAATAATAATAATAATAATAATTTATTATTTGTACCCCGCCCATCTGGCTGGGTTTTCCCAGCCACTCTGGGCAGCTTCCATAGAAACCAAAGATACAGTAAAATATCAACAGATTAAAAACTTCCCTGAACAGGGCTGCCTTAAGATGTCTTCTGAATGTCAGGTAGTTATTTATCGCTTTGACATCTGATGGGAGGGCGTTCCACAGGGCGGGCGCCACTACCGAGAAGGCCCTCTGCCTGGTTCCCTGTAGCTTTGCTTCTCGCAATGAGGGAACCGCCAGAAGGCCCTCGGCGCTGGACCTCAGCGTCCGGGCAGAACGATGGGGGTGGAGACGCTCCTTCAGGTATACTGGACCAAGGCCGTTTAGGGCTTTAAAGGTCAACACCAGCACTTTGAATTGTGCTCGGAAACGTACTGGGAGCCAATGTAGGTCTTTCAAGACCGGTGTTATGTGGTCTCGGCGGCCGCTCCCAGTCACCAGTCTAGCTGCCGCGTTCTGGATTAGTTGTAGTTTTCCGAGTCACCTTCAAAGGTAGCCCCACGTAGAGCGCATTGCAGTAGTCCAAGCGGGAGATAACTTGTAAAACATGTGATTTATGCTGATAGCAATAAGATGGGGCTTTGTCTCCTGCGTTACCCTCCTCCCGATTGGGGCCCATTCAAACTTGCTCTTACCTTTATTGCCTAAGCTAGACATTCCAACGAGAGGCCCATTTGCACCGTAACCTTTAAGCAAGAAAAAGCCTTGTTCTTCTGGCTGGTGAAAAACCTCCCCCTTTGGGAAAACCTCACCTTAAACAGTTTTTGGGATCATATAGAGAACAATATTCTAATGGCCCCTTCACTATAACATCCCACAAGTTGCAAAGAAGTCCACCCCTGCTTTGCTTCGACTCCCCGAGACTAAGCGATCGTGCAACATTGAGGTTAGATACCTGGCCAGTTTTGTAGTGAAGAACAGTCTGCCGCCGAAAACAGAGGCATGGACGCTCAGTTTTAAGTTCTGCAATCAGACAAGGGGGGAGGAAAACGTCTCAGATGGTGGGGAGACTGGAAGAGTCCTTCCTCCCTGCCATTCCCTGGACTTGAAAGCCAAACCACGCAGAAAACTCTTGATTCCAACACTTACGGCCTTCATGACAAAGAGCCCAACGAGGGACCCGGACGGACCTTTCGCCAACAAGGCAATCTCGACGGAAAGCTCAATCACGGCTCTCTTGGGCTCCAGGATGATCCTCCGGATCCCGACCAAAGAGATGGTGATTTTTCAGCGGCGCCTTCAGAGGACACTTGGGCACTGTGAAAAGTGTGGGGCACAAAGGATATTTTTGACGCGTTTCTCTCTCCTGATTTTAACGTATCTGTGTGGGACTTATTATCTGCAAGTTGCTTTGCTGGGCAAGAAAAAGCGATGGACAAATTGGAGAAACAGATGAAAATAAAAGATGACTGTACGTGGGCATGTGCTTCTGGCGAGTCACTGGGGCAGGATCTTTCCCCAAGGTCCCTCAGACCTGCATCCGGTGGAGGCTGGTTCATTAAGGCCAACAGGGCACTGCCCCACAACATCAGCCTGCCCCCACTTGCCTGCCCCCTTAACTTATAACCAGTCTAGGCCAGGGTTTCCCAAGCTTGGGGTTTCCAGGTGCTTTGGACTACAGTTCCCATCATCCCTGACCACTGGTCCTGCTAGCTAGGGATGATGGAGTTGTAGTCCCAAAACAGCTGGAGACCCAAGTTTGGGAAACCCTGGTCTAGGGCAGGCAGAGGCAAACTCCGGCCCTCTGTTTGGGACTACAATTCCCATCATCCCTAGCTAATAGGACCAGTGGTCAGGGATGATGGGAATTGTAGTCCCAAACATCTGGAGGCCGGAGTTTGCCTATGCCTGGTCTCTGGGATGCAACTGTTGGTCAGTTTCCTGCTCTTCCTTAGCCTCAGCAGAACTCAGCTGGGAAAAGGAAGATGGGGTCATTGGCTCTGCTTGTCTGTGGCTCTGGCTCCCCCTACTGGTGGCCTCCTTGCCTTCCGCCTGCCAGTCTCACACTGCACCAACCACAGCTGCCTGCAGCAATGCTTTCCCTTTTTAGATGCCCGGCCAAATACTTGTCTGCTTCAACAAGCCTTTGATACTTTTTGCTGGGGCTTTTTGCACATTTTCTACCCCCGCCCTGCTGCTTGCGACAAGACTGCTATGCCCTTTATGAACACCTCTGCAGTTTCCTAAATAAATGTTTTTGTTGGATTTTGCCTGCTAAGGGTGATTTGCTGCAACCTTGCTTTTTCTGTTTTTCCTTCGGTGGTTTTTATCGTTATCCTTATCTGCAGTATGGCTTTTGGAGATAAAACAAGGCACACACTTCTTAAAAGCAAACACCCGCTCACCTTTTGATGTGACAGAAGAGACGCAATGGCGGTCGTCAGCTCACTGGCAGCGGAGAACTGTTGGCACAAAATGGCGTTGTGTTGAAAATGGCATATCTTTTTAAAAGACAGAAGTACTGTTTTGGGGGGACAGGTGTGGAGGTCTCTCTGGTCCTGAATGGGGTAACTGTGCCCCTGAAGGACCAGGTGTGCAACCTGGGAGTCATTTTGGACTTACAGCTGTCCATGGAGGCACAGGTCAATTGTGTGTCCAGGGCAGCTGTTTACCAGCTCCATCTGGTACGCAGGCTGAGACCCTATCTG